GCTCTTTCCACAGTTTGGCTATTGTGGACATTGCTGCTATAAACATCGGGGTGCACGTACCCCTTCGGATCCCTACTTTTGTATCTTTGGGGTGAACCTAGCCTTGTCTTAAGATAAACTGCTCGATGATGTAGTACAGCATGAACAAGACTAATCGACTGTCCTGTTTAATAAAGTGAGATCCTGCCCCAGAGGTAGCAGAGGCCACAGAGCTCACAAGGATCAGAGAGAAAACAGAGCAAAGCCGACATTACCTCATGCTTGCAGGGAAGGTGGTGAGGGCTTGGCAGCAACTCAGGAAGACCCAGAACAGCGCACAGAGAAGACCCAAGGACACAGCAAAGCTTTTCTTACTCCAGCGCTTCGCGGGGAGGTAACTCATCCTTTCAAACATTTCCAAGGCTATTTTTTATTCTTCCAGTAAATTTTTAAAAATTCCTTAAATTCGACTTACCAGACTAAAGCGATGGTGGGAAGGGGGTAAAGGTGCCGTACTTTGTAAAATGCATCATTCCCAGGGCCACAGGGACGTGCTCTGTGAGGAGAAGGAGGGTACATTCAGCTCGCATGCCGGGCTGTCCAGGGGAGACATATAATCTGTGCTTTCAGCCGGACAGCCCTCTGGTCACTCAAGTTCAAGCTTGCTGAGAATGATCGTTCTAGTTCTCCTTTTCTCCTTTAGTCCAACACGCAAGTAAGAAGTCCCACTTTTCTTTTTCCTCATAATCTGTGCCAGAGGCAGGGGCTGAACCCACAAAACCCAGAGTGGAATTAAAATTCCTGCCGGAGTCCCCTCCCTGCCCGCTGGTACCGTCTCGTGAGCTTCAGCCCCTGCTGTCCACAAGCCTCTCCCTCTGCTGTTGCTCAGCGTCTGCATCCTCCAGAGACTCTGCAGACAGGGCTGGCCTCTTCCTGATCCCCACACTCAGAGTGATGAAAACAGTAGTGCCACTGTTAGAACCACTGAGGTAGACTTCCGGCCTACATGGGGTGGCAACGGCGGGGGAAGGAAGAAAGGCGGGATCAACCCTACATTTCTTACTTACTGCTCACTTACACTGGACCGGGTGACAGCCCCTCCTGCCTCCTGCCTCTCTGATCCCTCGAACAGACTTGTTGCTGGGAACCTGCTTTGTTGGTTATTTTCCATGCGCCTCTCCCCCAAACCCATGCCCTGTCTTCTTCCTGGCTCTGTGCTCCAGGAGGCTGACCTCTATGGACCACGGGCAGCACTACCAGCTCTGCTTTCCTCTGGCTCTGGTTGGGTTCGGCCCATGGGAAGCGCCAGTAGATCAGAGGGTGGGAGAGACAGGCTGGGTATCTCTCTACTTCCTCACTGCTTTTCCATCATCTCTCTATGACTATAGCTCCTGCCGGGCAGCCCTCCTCCACAGCTTAGCTCTCATGGGGCTTTGTCAACATTATGTCCTCCCCCTGTCCCTTTGGTCCTAGGGGTGGTAATAACTTCCCACTGGGGACCTCACCATCCCAGTATGTCCCCTTAGCCCTTCTTACACCAACATAGGTAGTTTTCTCATTAAAACATCTTCATTTGATCCACCGGGGTGAAACCTGTTTCCTTTCAAGATTCTAACTGATATATCTGCCACTCTTCTGCTTTACAGAGTCTGCTTTCTCCTCCTCAGTGGGTGATGCAGAGGGTCTCTGAACAAAGAGAAGGCCCAAGAGACACCCATGGTGCCAGGATGATGGGTGAAGCACACACTTCAGGTGTGTAGGCAAATGCTAATGCAGCACGGCGAGCACCCACTTGGAAAGGACGCCTAAGGGCAAATATTTGTAATTGCGGGTGATGATCAATGAGGTAAGCCGGCTAGATTCTCTGAGGACAGAAGCCCTCACTCTGATGATTTACACATTCACTCAACACTTTTTTGGAGCACCTACCAGGTACCAGGCACTTCTCCAGGTACAGTGAGCTGACTTGTGGCCCCCAAAAAGATATGTCCACATCCGAATCCCCAGAACCTGTGAATATGACCTTAAAAGGCAAGAGATGTGACTAACAATTTTGAGAGGAAGAGTTTATCCTGAATGATCTGAGTGGGTCCTAAATCCAAAGACAAGTTGTCCTTACAACAGTGAAGGATAGGGAGATTTGACAGAAAGAAGAGGAGAAAGCAATGTGACCATGAGGGCAGAACCTGGAGTGACTCAGACACAAGCCAAGGAGAGCCTGGAACCGCCAGAAGCTGGATGAGGTGAGGAGGGATCCTCTCCTAGAGCCTTGGAAGGGAGCCTGGCCCTGCCAACACCTCAATTTTGTACTTCTGACCTTCAGAGCTGTGTGAGGACAAATTCCTGCCATTTTAAGCTACCTAGTTTGCAGGACTTCATCATAGCACCCTAGGACACTCATACGCTAGGTTCTGAGGATACAGTAGTAATCAAGACATACATGGTCCCTACCCTTCTAGAATATATGGTCTGGGAGAACAAACAAATAATGAAAAAGTGAACAAAGATAAATCATTACAAACTGTGGTGAGTTCAGTGATGTACTTAGAGAAAGCTATAGAGTACTTTATTTGGATTGGTAGTCAGGGCAAGCATCTTTGAGAGATGACCTTTGAGCTCAGACTTGAAGGATGAGAGGTAGCCAGTCACAGGAAGCTCTCAGGGAAGAGCATCCAGGCAGAGGAGACAAACCAAAGGCCCAGGGGTGGGGGACAGACTAGCATGTTCTAGAAACACAAAGAAGCCCAATGTTATTGGAATGAGGTCAGAGAGGTAATGAAGGCCAGGACACACAGACTTGTGGGCCATGGTAAGGTCTTGGCATTTTATTCTATGGTGAAAAGGCATCTGATGGTTGAGGATGGAATGCTGGGAGACACTTAAAGGGTTTATGTCAATCCCTCGTGTTATTGATGAGAAGTAGCTCAGAGGGGGCATCACAGGAGAGCAGGGAGGCCAGTTAGTAGACGGCTGCCGTCTTCTAGGCAAGCAATGAAGATGGACTGTGGTGACCCCTCAGAGATGGAGAGAAGAAGATGGATTAAAGACACATTTTGGAGAGAACTGTCAAGAATTAATAGATATGGGGTATGAGAGAAAGACAAGAGTTAAGGAAGATGCTGAGATATCATGTTTGAGGAACCAGATATATGCCAATGAGTGGCAGCTAAAAGCAAGAGAATAAAGGAGGTGATAAACAGAAGTTAAAAAGCAGAAATAAGAATTGGAAAAGTTCAGACCAAGGAGTGCCAGGGCAAACATTCCCATTCGGTTCAGTAGCCCTAGGGAGTTGCTCTGTGGTTTAGTAATTGGTGGTCCCAACTTCTGGGCAAAAAGTTGTTAAGACCAACTTTTTCCAAGGTGAACTATTCCTTTCTGGGCTAACACCCCCCTCCCCCAAAAGAGGGGTCACATATCAACTCAATAAAGGAGGCATTGATCAACCACCTTTGGTGTACCCGGCATAACTCCAAGCCTGCAAGAAGCTAAGCATGCCCACCTCCTGAGTCACAGGGCGCACATTACCCTTGTTTCTTCGGGCCTCAAAGAGTCTGCTGGGTGCTAACACTGCAGGCCAGAGAAAGGGACTCAGTGCTCACTTTCAAAAATTAGAAACAAAAATCCCCACTCGTTCTGATGAACACTGATATCCAGACATTATTTCCACAGACGTATTAGATAGCTAAACATAAATGTGACAAAGACGTGACCAATTAGAAGACATGCCCACGGTTATCATGGCAACAAAGGGCACATTGCCCATATCCCATCTTTTAGGTGCTTCATTTTGATTATAAAATTATCCACAGTCCATGCTAGGGGTGGGGTTCACATGCCCAGAAATTACCCCAATTACATGTGCTCACTCCCTGTGAGCATCAAGTAATGCAGCCTTAGGCTTTAGACAAAACAAGACACACACACCCACACATGCATGTTCATAGCCCAGAGTACGTGAGTGTTGAGTCAAGGTGTGGGCTGCTAGTGCAAAAAGGCCTTTAGCAATGATGTAGCTTGGCCTCCTCCTTCTGTGGGTGGGAAACTAAGGTGAAGGGAGAGGCAGGAATTCTAAAATCCCCTCCAGCTCAAACATGTCATCATCCCTGACTCACAGACTTCTGTAGATCACACCGTGTTTTGTCCCTGTGGTCCTGTCTCCTCAGAAGACAAACTTTCTGAGGGGAAGGTCACGCCACAAGACACCTCGGCCAAAACGGAGGTCCCCACAGGACCCCAAACTCTTTGATTTCCAAGGTGACACCCCAGATTGAATACTGGCTCTGGCAATCTCTTTCTCAGGAAAGGATCCCTCCCTGCTCCAACTCAGGCCCCTGCCTGGAATCTCTTCTCTCCTGCTGAGGATGAGCGGTTCTGCCTCTTGGACAGGAAATGAGTTCTTCCCTGTTTATTGTGGTCAAATCCTAAAATGAAGTCAATATAGCAGTCCAGGCTGAATACGTAGATGTCTCTTTATTAATTCATGGGACACTGTGCAGTCCCCCACTGTCCACGCTGAGAGGGATGAAAACCAAAAAAGAAGTGCAAGTGAAAATCCACCTTTGATAATGTCTGCTGAATGGGCCCATCAGGGACCAAGAAGATTAAGCACTTGTGATTTATTCCCACGTTAATCTCAACACACCCTGGCACACAACGCACACCCACGCATGTGCACATGCAGCTGAGAGACCTCCCCGGATGGCATTTCAGATGCCACCCCTCCATGCTGCAGCGTGAAATCAGAAAAAGGTCAGTGTTCCGAGGCCAGCACGGAAGGCTCATTATTCCTTGCTGACGCCTTCATTCCTTCATTCCCGTGCTCATTCAACCTCTCCTCTTCAGCATCTGTGCTTGCCAGAAAGTCTTGCGCTAGGCAGGAAGAAGATTCTGGGGGGGCCTCAGTTTACTCATTTCCAAGCAAACAGTCAATTCCTCCCAGCTCCCGCTGTGCCCCTCCCAGGCCTTCTGCACCTGTTCCCTGGCTCTAGGCTCACTGTCTCCGTGGGGAAGAAGGTGCTTGATAATAATCAGCACAGCCACCACTGACCCAGGCATATTATGTAGGGAGTCCTTGACATCACCTAGCTCATGTAATCCTCACCACAACCCTCTGGAGCGCAGTCCGTTTGCTCATTTTACATACCAGAATTCTGAGGCTCAAAGACATTATATGACCTGCCGGAAGACACCAGGCTACAAAAGAGAGACTCTAAGCCAAGGTGACCGGACTTGAGCACCCATGTCTTTCACCAGCCTGCAAGCCCTGGGGACAGTCCTCACAAACCGGCGTCCAGTCCTGTCAGTGGTTTTCCCCACCCCTGGACTGCTTGGGATCACAAATGGTCGCATTTTGCCTGCATTCCCAGAGGCTTTCCAAGGATCACTTTGCTGGTGCATCTGGGTGAAGTCTTCTTGCTCTTGTTTCTTCCAGACTTCTGCTGATGGTGCTAGTCATGTGGAAGGGACTTCTCCCAACCTGGCCTTCAGTCCTCCCAGTGCTGAGGGCAGAGCCATGGGGATTCCAGGCAAAGGAGAGAGAAGAGGAGAAAAATGGC